GTGGAGACGGGACAGCAGAGCGGGGGCTTTTATCTAGTGGGTTGTAGATATCCTGACATACTGACGCACAGACCTTGCAAGACACCCCTGCACTCGGGGATGGCGCCAGGAGTGCTCTTAGAGTTCGTGACCTTCTTACCCCAAGATAAGGAATACAGGAACAGGAACATCCTTTTATGGTAAAGAGTACAGGAACAGGAACATCTGTTTATGGTCAGTATTACTTTGGTTATCCAATAATAAAAATTCAGCAATATTATGCAAAGCAACAGTACAACAAAGTTCTTAGGAGATACACCAGTGATCTGGATGTCATAGTTATTAGCATTTGCCATGGGCTTACCAACATACCTCCAACTTTATAACTACTACTACTATGAGCTCAAATCCCTGTATTCACCAATACATTCTAAAAGGAGAATGAGATTGAAGAATGGAAGCCTCTTTTCCAAGACTTTGGACAGATTTTGGTGCAATACTGGCTTATACCTGCACATGCCAGCCTACATTTATGAAATGTATGCCTAAGTTTAGGCACAGGAAGAAAATATGTGCTTTTGCTATTAGCCCTGCACTTAGAGAAGGTAGTCCAATCAATGGTGCCACCCTTTTTGGGTCACACCGCAGCTCCCCCACTTGGTAATGGGAGACACAAACTTAGAACAGAACATGGAAGGACCATAGGGATGTGCAGGGAGGATGCCAACACACTCCAGTGTTTCAAAAAAAAACCCCAGAGATTAAGGGAAGCAGACAGGCAGGGACTCAAGCATAATACAAAGGTTGGAATGGATCAGCAGCTCAGGAATCGGCAGTGGGGTGATTGGCTCTGGCAGTGGGTGAGGAGGGACGCCCTCCTCTCTGCAGGCAGAAGTTGCAGAAGAAGAAGAGTTTGGATTTGATATCCCGCTTTATCACTACCCGAAGGCGTCTCAAAGTGGCTAACATCCTCCTTTCCCTTCCTCCCCCACAACACTCTGTGAGGTGAGTGGGGCTGAGAGACTTCAAAGAAGTGTGACTAGCCCAAGGTCACCCAGCAGCTGCATGTGGAGGAGTGGGGACGTGAACCCAGTTCACAAGGTTACAAGTCCACTGTTCTTAACCACTACACCACACTGGCTCTCTCACCCTAGATCCAATCCATACACAGGGTTATTTCATGTCCTTTCCCACACCCTCTGCCTTCAAGGAACTTGGCTCACCATTTAAGGGAACTGGAAAGTCCTCACAGATTCTTACTCGATCTTCATTCCTGGTCTCCTGGAATACCAGATGTTCCATAAGGTCATGGTTGTGGGCCCAGGCGCAGCGAACCCACCAGAGATGGGGTTGGGGCTAGATACCGCTCTTAACCACTACACCACACTGGCAAATCCCTTGCAGCCTTTTTCTTCTCTCTCTCCGTCTCTGTCTCTGTCCCATGGCTCTCTCCATCCAAGCTCCACTCACCACCTTTTGTGGAGAGAGATCTGCAGGGATGAGCAAGCAAGGCCTCAACCCTCCAGATCTGCCCAGCCTCTGGTCAGTTTAGCACTGGGCTTTTCGTCTACAGGAAAAGTCTCCTGTTTTGGCTTCTTGGCAACTCTTGTTGTGGTTGCTTTATTAGCTTTTTGCCTCTTTGCCTCTTCCTCGCCCTTAGTTGTCTGTCTTGCCATTGACTCCCTGCTCCATTCTTCCTTCGTTGAAATAAATAAATAAACATCCCGGCGTGCACACCCTCATTAAATGTGCTGCATTTGCCTATGGGAAGTGCATATTGAAAGAGATAATGCCACTTCCAAGAAATAGCCTCTCTCTATGGGACTCAAACGCTAACAATAGTTTCATTCCAATTATCTGAACATCTTATATCAAGCACAGGCAAACTAGGCCCTCCAGATGTTTTGGGACTACAACTCCCATCATCCCTGACCACTGGTCCTGTTAGCTAGGGGTGATGGGAGTTGTAGTCCCAAAACATCTGGAGGGCCGAGTTTGCCTATGCCTGTCTTATATCCACAAGTCTTTCCCACAAACAATGATGCCTTGCTTTAGGTTTCCAAACCACATATTTGCAGGAGAAAGGGGAGCAAAGCCACGGTCAAAATGTGACCCTAGAACTCATGCAACAAACCCACCAACCAATCCACCATCAATGTCCCTTAAAAATAGTATTTCATGGTTTTCAGGCAGCGACATGATTTTTAGCACAGAACAACCTCATACACATCAAAATCCTTTCCATATGTGAAAGGATTGGTGAAATGTACAGCACTTCAGAGATTCAAACACACACACAACAACATTAGTGATCAGGATTCACTGTGCTCTTTCCGTGAGTCAATCAGCAAAAGTATCTCTGAGCCAAACTGAATCAGGTTGTTTAAAAATAGCAGAGAAGCATTAAACTCTGTTACACTGGTCTCAGTGGATAGCTTTGGTTTTGGTCTGTCTGATCAGATCTCCTATTGATCCTTTCATTGTTCGTATTTCTAATTCATTAGTATAGCACAGCACGCTATATATAAGAGGATGTTGCAACCTAATGAAGATTTTCCCTTCTCTCCCTTTCAAAACAAAAAAAGCTGGTTCACTTTTGTTGTTGTTGTTCTGTTTTTAATGGTATGGTGAAAGATTTTCATCTTGTCAGGTTTTATTTTCCTCCCATTGACATTATCTCTTAATTAAAAGAAAAGATAAATAGATTCGAGCAGGTGCTGTAGCTGATATGAAACATAGCTGTTGGTTTTTTTAAAGTCCAGTCAGACAGACAACAGCTGAGTTTTCCAGTCAGCCAATTTTTGTAGCAAAATATACTCAGCAGTAAGAGAGGGTATGTCTGGGCGGCATCGGCAGGAGAGTGGGGGTGTGCTCTTCAATTCTGGAGTATTTTTTCCCTTGAACCTAAAATCCCAGCTAATAGCAGTTCACAGAAAGGACCAGAAGGCAAATTTTCTCTCCATCTCTGCTATCTGTGCCCCGGGTAAGAAGGGATTTTGCATTCCATACATCATTTACTACGTGCAACCATAGCTTTCCCATTGGGCCCTCCTGTCCCAATCTTCAGCAGTGCCACCCCTAGAGCACAGGCTGCAGGGCTGTGAATTTTGCTCATAAGAGGGAGGTTTTTGCATGTGTGTTTTTGAGCAGAAAAACTCCTCAGAGAAAGTCTTCTTCAAATGCATTAAAAAGTAAGCAACTTAGTGCTATAAGGAACAGAAGCTGAGGCATGCACTAAATATTGCAATGCTTCTGATAGAACCTGTAAGGCACCTTCGGAAACTGAAGTCAATGCATTCAAACAAATAAACACAGACACAGCACAAATGCTTCCCATCAGCTGTTCATTGCTGTGCTCAAAGATCAATGACCTACTGAGCGTCTGGGTGTACACTCAGTTGGAAACCTGGGTCGGCACCCAAGATTATATGCAATAAACACAGCACACAAGAAGGATCAACAATACCATGGGCCTTTTACATTCTGCTCTACACAAATTCATCCAGTTGGCGAAGTATTTTGATTTCAGTGCCTTTGATCAAACATAGTGAGGGCCATTTCACACATTACACAGACACAAATCTGGATTTGTCACTGAAAATACACTGTAGTTAATCAGAACTCTGTGATGAGTATACCACCTGCACACAACTTTGTCAACATTCACACATTCCATTCCTTATGTACATTTAACACATCTTAAATGTCCACCCCAAATATATTAAGTGTGGTGGCCCTTGGAATAACCCTAAAAGTCTGACATCTTTTGAATTTTATTATTATTTCAGTCACAGACCAGTTCCAGCCCACACACAATATCAAGGAAGTCATAAAACATGATAGGGATACATTTGAATTTGCAACTAGGTATAACAGGAACAATACAGATATAGCAACAGTTAAAAAATATATAAATTAAAACTTAATCACTAACATATAACCTGAAATTATCATTTAAGGCCTTAATCATTATGATAGCACAGCTTGTTCCCTAAGTTTTATAGCAATCTCACAGAATTTGGCTACCCTTAAATTGATCTCAGGATCCTTGTCCTCTACCAGGGATTTTAGACATTGAAGTTCAGATTCATTTGGAGATTTTTGCATAGCAGGGGTAATAAATACCGAGCGTCTATCCCCGTAGAAACAGCAGCGTAACAAGGCATGAGAGACAGTTTCTACCTCCATCGAGTTGCAGACTCGTTCCACGTATGGTTTACCCTCAAATCTGCCCTGCAATAAGGCAGATGGCAGCACGGTGGAAGTCTGACATCTCTACTTAAAACTGCCCTGGAGTTATTTACAAAGGGCAGTATAGAAATTTATTGGATACACGAGTAATTAAAAAAACGACAACCACCTATTTGGGGAGTCCCAAGGGGGGGGGCATTTTATGTCTTTTAAGGATTTTGCAAATGTTTCCTTTTAGAAGTTGTCACACTGGAAAAGTGGCCAACAGATTGAATATCTACATGAGGTTCCACACACCCTTACAAGAGTGGGCTCCAGAAGCAAAAGTGGAGGATGCAGAGAAGCTACAGGTGGAACAAACAGAGAAGCAGAAGTTCAACTCATAAAAAAACCTCAAAGTCTGTCATACGATTTCTCCTACAATCTGACCCACTACTCTGAAGGATCTCCGATAGAGAAGACCCTTCCTTACTGAGACATTATTCAGCTTCACTCCAAGCCAGTACCACCAAACTAGACCTTGGAACAAACAGGCATAGTTATAGCCACACCAGTAGTGAGCAGAGCACTTGCTTCCATAGCAAACATCTCTGGGTCCCTAGAGACTCCTTGGTCAGACCAGTGCTGTAGTCTCTGAAGTGGGCTTAGGGGCAAAGTCTGCTTCCTACAATCTGCCAACAGAAGTCTGCTTATGCATCTTATTACCAAACACACACAAACACAACAGGTGCAGCTCGAATTCTTTAACCAAGTTTTTTCCACATACCTAGTGTCCCAGCTGTATTGTGTCCACAAATTATTCAACAATTTAAAGGTGTGTTTTCTCTTACCTGTGCACTGTTGAAAAGAATGTTGCATTCCTTCATCGGGAGGTCAGCACTGGAAAGAGGCTGCAAAAAAAAAAAAAAAAGCAAAAATTAGGACAAAGGTATATCAACTGAAGTGGCATTAGCAGATTTGAACTTGAGTCTGAAATGTTGGAACCTGGACTACTCCACCAACAGAGATTTAGCAGGTGCCTTCTGCTTCAACTTTTAAATACCTGCTGAAAACTTCTCTATTCTGCCAGGCTTATGCAGGCAATTAAAAATATACCTTTCCACAATGCTGAGCTGATTTCTGATCTTAACTTTTAAATATGGTTTTATTGTATTGCATTGTACAACTGTCATAAACTGCCCCTCTGATTTTTTAAATGAACAATAATATACAAATGTTTTTTTATAAGTCAATGAGGCAGAGATACCTGTTGTTTACGGTCACTGAAGGTTGTTCACTGAGGTACCTATGTATCTTTGTCTTAAGACCAAACTAGACATGACACAGGAGGCGCAATGATTAGGACTTTCTTTTTACTACTTAGCAGCCCTATGGGCTTTGAAGATCAGGGGAAATGTACTCTTAGCAAAGTTTTTAACCCTTACCCCTGTCCATTTTGTGATCTAAATTTACACCTACCCTATGTCTACTTTCTCATGAAGATCTGACTCGTTTGCTATCTTGAAAAATGTCTTAATTGAGATAACCAGCATGTGCACAATTTTCTTGAATTCTGTTATAGAATATATGAACCCCCAGCTGGTTCAAATGTTTCATTCCAAGACAACAGCTCTCCTGGTGCCCACCACACAAAGACAGCTGGGGGATCCTCATGAAGATCAAGCAAAGGTGAAGCAGCTTGAATGTTTCTCTTCTAGAGTTAAAGATTTTGTTCACATGTAATGCTAAACCATGGTTTAGTGCTACTTCCATGATCTCAGATAAGCCTGAGTTGGAACAGCCCTTCCTGCCTCCATAATGGGAGCACTGTGGTTCAGCTCACAATCCAATTTAACATTCACCCAGAAATTCAGTGGGACTTACTTTCTAAAAAGCTTGTTTAAGATTGCAGTTCTAGACTGAAGTCTTACACAGCCCTACCTTGGAAGTCGAATGGAATCTATTCCGGAAGTCCGTTTGACTTCCAAAATGTTCGGAAACCAAAGCACAACTTCTGATTGGCTGCAGGAAGCTCCTGCAGCCAATTGGAAGCTACGGAAGCCCCGTCGGATGTTCGGGTTCCAAAGAACGTTCGCAAATGGGAACACTCACTTCCGGATTTGCGGCGTTCTGGAGCCAAAACGTCCGAGTACTAAGGTGTTCGGGATCCAAGGTACGACTGTACACACTTACCTATCTCACTCAACACAATGGGGTTTACTTCTGAGTAGACACAAAAAGGATTGTGGTGTTAGCCTAGCTTGAGCCAGAAATGTACACTATTCTTAACTTTTTGTAATAATGTAACTCTGCATCAAAAATTCCAGTTACAGATAGGTAGCCGTGTTGGTCTGCCATAGTCAAAACAAAACAAAAAAATTCCTTCCAGTAGCACCTTAAAGACCAACTAAGTTAGTTCTTGGTATGAGCTTTCGTGTGCATGCATATCTGAAGAAGTGTGCATGCACACGAAAGCTCATACCAAGAACTAACTTAGTTGGTCTTTAAGGTGCTACTGGAAGGAATTTTGTCTGCATAACAGGTTATTTTAAAAGGGGGGAAATTAACACATATAAAATATGTAGAAGATCCCTCCTCATAAGAAGCAATATATGCTGGTAGCAAAGAACAAAAGGATACATGGAAATGTGTCAGTTTAATAAGAAACAGCTCCACTTCTGCAAAGATCTAGGACATGAGCTAGACTCAGCATAGCAGAGCTACAGAGAGTGTGCAATATGAACCATTAGCCGTGTATCTTCAAAAGAAGAAAGCCCGTGAAATTCAAGCATCCTCAATCCATCACCCTCAATCTGAAAGTGCTTTACGTGGCCATGAGACCCACTGAAATCAATGAGACTTACTTTCACATGGAATAAAATGCAGAGGTATTTGTTCACAGAGCTGCTACTGTGCACAGAAATAGTTGCCTGTGGCTGGGGTGGGGATGCTGGAAGTTGCCTCCCTTCTCCCTGATTGCACTTAATCTGGTCTGCCCCTTTAGCGTTATACCTCCAAGCGGTACACTATAAATATTATTCCCCTTAGTATGCAGGCAAACAGGCTGGCAAAACACTAAATTGACTCAGTTGATTAGTTTTTGTCAGTTACAATGCACATTTATCTATAAATGCAATCCTCTGTAAGATCGATATGTTTATTGAGTTCATTTTTCAATAAAGTTTGAGATGTCCTCAATTAATAAGTTGAAACATAACCTATAAAACCTACTCATCCAGCACGATCTCCAGCCTGCCCCACAATACAGGAGAGAAGCACAAACTGGACAATTTTACTTTGAGATCGCCCCCGCTCTTGGCAGCACTACAGCAATATACAAAATATGCTCAGAGAGGGAGAAGAGGAGGAGGAGGAGGAGGAGGAGGAGTTTGGATTTGATATCCCGCTTTATCACTACCAGGGACGCGGGTGGCGCTGTGGGTAAAACTTCAGAGCCTAGGACTTGCTGATTGCAAGGTCGGCGGTTCGAATCCCCACGGCGGGGTGAGCTCCCGTCGTTCGGTCCCAGCTCCTGCCCACCTAGCAGTTCGAAAGCACCCCTAAGTGCAAGTAGATAAATAGGTACCGCTTTATAGCGGGAAGGTAAACGGCGTTTCCGTGTGCGGCGCTGGTGCTGGCTCGCCAGATGCCGCTTAGTCACGCTGGCCACGTGACCCGGAAGTGTCTTCGGACGGCGCTGGCTCCCGGCCTCTTGAGCGAGATGAGCGCGCAACCCCAGAGTCGGACACGACTGGCCCGTACAGGCAGGGGTACCTTTACCTTTTACCTTTATCACTACCCTAAGGAGTCTCAAAGCGGCTGACAATCTCCTTTCCCTTCCTCCCCCACAACAAACACTCTGTGAGGTGAGTGAGGCTGAGAAACTTCAGAGAAGTGTGACTAGGAGCCCATTTTGACTGCTGAGGGTTAGGTCACAATTGTTGGGGTTTTTTGTGTATGTTTAACAAGGCTCTGGTATGTAACAGGCAACAAAAAAAGACTAATGTGCATACCATCCTTTGCCAGCTCACTATTCTGTGACTGTCTGCTGATCTTAACAAGTTGTTATGCTCTTGAAGAGGTCCACGTGTGTAGACAGATATAAATACAGTGGTACCTCAGGTTAAGTACTTAATTCGTTCTGGCGGTCTGTACTTAACCTGAAACTGTTCTTAACCTGAAGCACCACTTTAGCTAATGGGGCCTCCTGCTGCTGCCGTGCCGCCGGAGCACGATTTCTGTTCTCATCCTGAAGCAAAGTTCTTAACCTGAAGCACTATTTCTGGGTTAGCGGAGTCTGTAACCTGAAGTGTATGTAACCTGAAGCGTATGTAACCCGAGGTACCACTGTAGTGGACCAACATAACTGCCTGCATATTTAGGCTATCTTTAGGTGGTCATGATGAGCTCCTCCACCAGTTACACTATTGCCTTTCACCAAATCTGTTAGTTTTTGAGGTGCAGCTGGACTCTTGGCTCTCTTTCCTACAATAGGGAATGCCTCTGGAACAGGCAAATGAAAAGACCCAGGCGAAGGTTGTGCAACACATGTGATTACATACGTTCCAACATTTCTCTGATGAAAATCGGGATGTCCTAAGGAAAAGTGGAAGCGATGTATGGAAGTGAAAGCTGGACCATAAAGAAGGCTGATCGCCAAAGATGCTTTTGAATTGCGGTGTTGGAGGAGACTCTTGAGAGTCCCATGGACTGCAAGAAGATCAAACCTATCCATTCTGAAGGAAATCAGCCCTGAGTGCTCACTGGAAGGACAGATTGTGAAGCTGTGGCTCCAATACTTTGGCCACCTCGTGAGAAGAGAAGACTCCCTGGAAAAGACCCTGATGTTGGGAAAGACGAAGGGCACAAGGAGAAGGGGACGACAGAGGATGAGATGGTTGGACAGTGTTCTCGAAGCTACCAGCATGAGTTTGACCAAACTGCGGGAGGCAGTGGAAGACAGGAGTGCCTGGCGTGCTCTGGTCCATGGGATCACGAAGAGTCGGACACGACTAAACGACAACAAAGGAAAAGTAGGACATTCTGGAATAAAATCAGAAACCGGGATGGCTTCTGTATATTTGGAACTATACCTGGAAAATAGGGGCACTTGGAGAGTCTGTACACATTCTTTTAGTTCTTTGATAGCCTGATGGCTATTTTGGCATATATTTCATGGATATACAAGAAACATGTTTGTCCAGAAAGCCATTGTGGTTGTGCACATATTTGCAGATGAACAGGAATGTAGATTTAGCTGTAATCCAGAATTCAGAATCTTAGCAGATTGTATAAACCTTTTTGTGTTTGAAGATAAATATGCATCTTCTTCAGCTTTACTTGGAGTGACTAAACTCAGAGTCTAGCCAGCAGGAGTTTTGCTTAGTTAAGGATCTGGGGATCTCAGTATTTGTTTGAAGGAGATAGGAAATGAAAGCTTTCGCCACTCATGTTCTTCAAACCTTGCAGAAGTTTAATTTTTTAACCCTGAGAGTCACAAATTTCTACTGGTTCGAGAGAAATGACGCTTGGACATTGCAATCAGGCCTTTGCAACCCCTGACGATCTCAGATAAAAACTTCCGAGGACTACAAATCTAATGATTTTGTCTAATCCTTTTCAATATCCAGTTTTATAGTTAACTATATATTTTAATGATTAGTGAATGGCCCATCTCAAAGCAAATTAGAAAACTAATGTCTATTAGATACCAATGAAATGTAGTGTTAGTGGTTGGCATTTAAAAAAAGATTGGGAGAAATACATTTCAAGACTCTGATCTACATATTACAGTTTAAAAAAAATATCATTTTCTTGTTTTCGTGGCTATTCTTCTCCCCACAATAAACATTTCCTTCACATCAAGTCAGTAAGAACTGATTAGGAAAAAGTCTCTTAGTTCTCTACATAT